CAAACACAAGGAAAATATTGGTTTGTCCTGAACCAACATCTTTTCATTTTTCAAATTTTGATTTAATCTATATTTCCAAGTAAATTCGACCAATAAAATACAAAAATAAATATAGATCAAAACACTAAAAGCAATCTAGAAACGACAATGTGTGGCAATAGGTTGAGCAATAGAAGATAAATTCAAACCTGTATCAACTAATATAGAGAGAATGCAAAGCTTGCTTGATAGATGTGATGGTTGACCTTGTTTTTTTTAACATATTAGTAGGGTTTAAAGTTTGGGTTAATAAAGCCAGGGTAAATGGATATAGCCTTAGTGTAATAGGTTGATATATCGATAGTACATTTGGGGGGTTGATCATGGGATTGGATATGTGAAGCATTTGCACCAAGTGTAAAGACTAAGTGGCATAAATGCCATTTATAAGGTTAGTAAGTCCCTAAGTCTGGAATAAAACTTATGGAGGTTGTGAGTGAAACTTCTCCAAGTGGTTAGAGATGTGGTTAAATGACTAAAGTAGAATGAAAAATTTAGTCGCTTACACTAAATCATCACTAATGTGCGGTGCCATGAACTTCTCACCTTCATCTATAGTTTGTGTGATGTAAATAGCCTTTCTCATTATATTCTTAAATACTTTTAGGAATTCTTTTTCTTTGTTCATCAAGAAAATATTGAGAAACTCTAGAGTTTCTATTTGTTACTTATATAGAAGCTTCATTTTTGTGATATTGTAAATCATGTCATTTAGAGTTTTGTTCATTGCAAAATAAACATATATGTGATTGAGAAAAATAGAGCATACAATAAGAAACTTATATTCATGAATGGAAATTTCTACTATAGTCTCTAGCCACTTTGAAAACTTTGCATGTTAGTTTTTTACTTTGAAGATTTTGCATATTGAATTTTGTGCAATTTGTATAAACTCAACTGAGAGCTCTTCCCAACTCTTCTCCGGATGCACAAGTTTATAAGCATTTTGCTTGACCTTCATCAAAGGCTAGAAGTCTGTATAGGGGATTTTTAAATTATAAGAATCTCATTTGGAGAATAATAAATGGGGAATAATAAAGGATATTTAGTTTAACATTATTTAAGTGTATTTTAGAGTAATAAATCTAACCACTGCCATCTGTTATGTGGACATAGGTCTTTTTTATATCAATAGTGTGTACTTACCATAATATCCAAAGTACTTTGCAAAGTTGAGTGTATTTCAAAGATCATATATCAGCATTTATAATTGCAAGCTGGGTGTTCATGCACTTATTTTATATCTCACTTGTTAGTGGCTCTTTACTTGAAATGACATTGCTGCTAAGAAGTAGAAAGAAACTAATATATATTGTCAAAAGGCTGGAAAAGCATTGCTAGGCTGATATTTGCACTATGAGGTCTTTTTAATATCTAGGATGGTATGGCTTTGATAAAAAGGATTAGATAAAAATTCCTTGTTTAGGTTCATCTTAAATATTTCTTGGATCAAAACACTAATTATAAAATAATTACAGAATTTAAGTTAAGCAGAGTTAAGAATTTCTCATAAAAAAGAGCTCACTGAAGATGTTAAAAGCTAAAACATAGAAAGTAAGAAATGAGTTTATAAGTAGCATAGTCTATAGTCATACAATCACTATAATTACCATAGTATATTGTATATCCATTATTCTGATTATACATTTAAAATAATTAGTGTTTAACTAGAAGAAAATCCCATGTTAATTGACTGAATCCCTATATTATATATTTAGTTTATGTGGCCTTTAGGGAGTGAATATATGCTTATAGGAATGAGGTTTTTATATGCTTTTACTATGTTCTAAGTTTTCACTTGATTTAATAAAATACATTACAGTTTAGTATATTTTACAGTTGCTGTTCTCAGGGTCTTTAAGGATTTTGTTTTTTAATTTTTTTATAGTTATTATTAAATTTCTTGGATATAGGTTTTAAAAAACTTATTTAATAGTGAAATTATTTAATATGTTATTTTTATTATATATAATTTGAGAGTTTTATTTAATGGATTCATAAGAAAGAAACTCAACAGTAATATGATTTATATGCTGATAGCAACCTATAAATGACCAATCACATTTTGTTACATATTTTGCTAAACCTGGAAATACTATAAGTTGGTATTGTACCAGATTTATAAGAAAATTAAAATATCAAGGATAGTATTTGGATCAATTTATTCTTGAAATAACAAATCAAATTTATATATAAAAATATTTACTTTTCTTCCATACCTATTATAATAAACATTTAGACAACAACTCATAAGTTTTTCCCAATTGTTATTTGTACAATCAACATCAACACCCTCAGTCTTATAAGTTAAACAAAGATTTATAATAAGAAATATTACAGTAGTAAATATATAAATCTAAATTCATACATACTTTTTTATTTAGTTATGAACTTGTGTTTCTTATATAAATAAATAAATTACTAGTTAATGATTGTAAATGAATAAATAAATATAATACAGCTGACTTGCAAGCTCCTCAGCCTCTTCCCAGGAAAGATCATCCTTGCCATCAGCAGCTGCCTCTTCCAGGAATGTTTTCTGCTTCACAAGCTCCATGACGACTGGAGGAGAAAATCTGTGTTTTTATAAATAAAATTTAACATTTTTGTTATATATATATATATATAGTTAAGTTTAGGTATCTTCTTTTACTATACTTTATTTTGACTAAGCTAATCAATAAAGTCAGATGAAAGCCACTTCGTCATTCCCTTACATGTACTCAAGTTGAGTGCGTATGCACACTCATAAGTGACAAAAAATGTCAGAAGTAAACTTTAGTCCAGAAGAAATCTGTACTCAAGGAAGAAAATCTGGATCAATGGCAAGTCTACTTACGGGCTATGTATGTGAGCAAAGGGTCTCAGTTTCGTTTTCATTCGTGACAACTTAAAACTCTGGCAAGTCCTTGAGTGTTTAGAAGCGTTTCTATGTTTCAGCAGAATCATAATTTGCACCTTCCCAGAAGTTTGATACTGAAACCTTTTTTTTTATTTTGTTCTCTTGAGCGATGAGAGAAAACAGATATCATGGTAAATGCTATGCCTCCGCTTCTAACTTTCTCAGAAACGTGGAGCTCAGTTTCTCCGCGCCTCCATCTAGCATGAACAGATCCACGACTTCAACCTGCTGACAAATCTCGTCATGGAAAACCCAGAAAAGATTTGTACTAGCCTTGAGTTGGGAAAGGCCTCGTTCAGCTCGTTTCTTATTGACAGCAAGTCCTCCGCCCAGAGTCTCTTGACTGAATACCGAGAAAACACAAACGCAAAGACACAAAAAAGTACAGTTTTACGAGATATAACACAAAACGAAAGCGTCGTCTTGTACCTTACAACAATGGCCTCGAGTGCCTCGTCGACTATGGATGGACCATACGGGTCATGTATTGGCTCAGTTTGGACTTCTAGATCCGGCTTCACAGACTGCAAAGAGGACGAAAAACACGAAAGAAAAAACAAACGAAGTTATCCATGAGAAATGTAGCAAGAAGACTGGACCTTGATAAACTCCTTGACTGCATTGCTCCTCTTCTCGTAAGGCTCGATCAAATGCGCGAACTACCGCAAGAGCAAAACAAAAAAACAAAAAACAAAAAGATAGATTAAATAGCAGATGAGACGAGAGAAGAGAATGGAGTAAATCTTACCTCTTTGTTCTCTAGCATTGGCCCATCGCTGATCCCCACCACGACCCTCTCGCGCGCGAGCTCTGCCGCTGCCTTGGACAAAGACCCAAGCCCTGATCCGATTTCCACACCACGGCTAGCAAAATTCGCTGGCTCACCTTCAAGAGCATCTTGTGGCCGCCGTGGAGCCGATCAAACGTGCCGCCCAGAACCACGGCAGCATACGCGCCATCCTTCGTGACGGCGAGCACCATCGCCCAATCAAACCCTAAACTCCCAAGTGTAAGCTTACGTGGCGATTGGCGTCGCTGGATTAGTTGCTGAGGTGGACCAGATCTTGCTTAGTCACAAAGCCACCTCATCATTTTTGCTTGCGGTAAAGAATTTCTAAAAGGTAGGTAGCGCTTCTCTGTTTGTTCGGGCGATTGACACTAGTGTAGAAGATCAAACACTGTGGAGAGATTGCGATTAAAAATCTGATTTTTAAAACCCAGCTCCGTCTCGCGACACCATGCCCACCGCTCAAATAAATTCCCCTTCACGGCCTCACACCGCCAGAGGTCTCCTAGGGATCCATCGCGCGCTGCCCAAGAGGAAGATCATCAAATCCAGAGCTCCGGTGGAAAGTATGGCTCCAGCCCAATTCTTGCTCCTCTTGTCCATCCTCGCGGCATTCTCCGCCCAAATCGCCCGCGGCGATGCCGATCCCTTCCAGGACTTCTGCGTCGCCGACGTCAACTCCACCATCAAAGTGAATGGCTTCGTCTGCCTGCCCAGTGCCGCGGTCACGCCGGACCACTTCTCCTCCAACGCGCTCGCCAAGCCCGGCAACACCTCCAACAAGCTGGGATCTGCCGTCACCACCGCCAACGCTGCTCGCTTCCCGGGCCTCAACACTCTGGGCGTCTCCAGTGCCCGCGTCGACTACGCCCCCGGCGGCCTCAATCCTCCTCACGTCCACCCGCGAGCCACCGAGCTGCTCTTCCTGGTCGAGGGAAAGCTCTACGTTGGCTTCGTCACCACTGCCCCCGATAACAAGCTCTTCGCCAAGACCATCTCCGCCGGTGAGAGCTTCGTGTTTCCCAAAGGTCTCATCCACTTCCAGCTCAATGTGGGCGATTCTCCTGCGTTTGGCCTCGCGGCTTTCGGGTCCCAGAACGCCGGAGCGTCGCAGGTTGCCAAGGCGGTGTTTGCTTCCATGCCGGCGATCGAGGACGCGGTGCTGGAGATTGCCTTCCAGGTTGACAATGGCGAGATCAAGCATCTGAAAGAAGTGATCAGCAAGACATGAGCCAAGTGAAAAGAGTGACTTTTCTCGTACCTCGTTCGTTCCTTTTTCTTTTTCTTTTTGGTTTTGGTGGTCCTCTTTGCCGTGCTCTTCCTCTTTCGGATGCCTTGCTCGGGCATTTCGCGTTTTTTCGCGTCCTTGTCTTTTGATAATGTCTTTTGATAATACTATATAAGTTTTCGTTTTTCTTCCAAGTTTCGCTCATTGTCTCGTATGTCATAACACGAAGTTCGAATGGAGTTCCAGGCTCTCATCCATCGAGCGGCATGGTTGAGTGGCCGAGCAATCGTAATGTTTCGGTTTCAAGGTAGACAAGTGATTAGATGTTTCACCATCTGGTCCCTGTAAGTCTTGCACTGTAAAACTCAACGAAATAACTGCTTGAAAGAAACGCACAACAGGGTCCAGCTCGCAAGTCCATTTCATGGATCTGAAGAGGGTCCACAACGACACGACCTCGTTACCCTTTTTCTTCCTTTTTCCTCAAAACCGTACCTGTGGTGCGGCATGCCGGATGTTTTTGTCGCGGCTGGTCTCGGGTCTCGTCTTGGTCACAGGAAACAATTGGACGCTTACGACTGGCCTGCATGATTGGATTAGACCAACAGTGACGAAAACAAAGCCGACTTACGACAAAGCTGGAGCTGCAAGCCATGCATACAAAACCGAGAGCTGCCGTCTGGCCACGATCGACGGGAATCAAAACAGTTCCACAACAGCATAAGCACAAACCTTCAAGCGGATGAGGTCAAAAGCGCCTCACTAGTGCGACAGCCTGTGACACAACTCCAAAAGTTTAGGATAATTCAGCTAGAAAGAGACAGGTTTGACACTCACTGCAATTGTAGAGAGGCTCCTGAAAACAGAAATGCAGGCCTTGACAACAAAGAAACAAAAGGTGAACGTCAAGGAGTAGATAAAGCATTAAACACATTACCGCGGGCCTCGTAGGAAATCTGGAGAAAATTGTCGAGCAGCTGTGGTATGACTTGTAAGAAACCTTAGTAGTCAATGGTTTGCTTGGGACTTGATTACCGCGGATAAGGGAGTTGCCTCTTGACGCTGCGTCCACTGTGACGTACCTCCCAACAGCAGCGTCAATTACGTTTTTCGTAGCGCATGTTTGCTGTGTTAAAACTTCCGTCCTCGTTGCAACCATTACTTTCCTCTGAATTGTCTCGGAGTTTTGTGCGTTGGTTTTGTTGTTGATGTTTTTTGCAGAGTTTCTTTTCGATTGGCTCTTCGCATTTGCACCAGCTTTATCTGAGGCGTCAGGTCCAACAGGCTCCGCATTCTCCCCTTGCGTTGTCTTCCTTCTTGTGGATAGTTTCCTTGCAACAGCACTGCCAACCTCTACGGTACTTGTAGTGTCAGGAGTTAATGCGCTCATTTCAGTTGAAGACTCTGCCACTTGATGTTGCTGGTGAGGAGGTGATTTTCTTGTTGGTCTCGTTACGATTGTCCTGCCTGAATATAAGCATTACTTTAGCAGCGTGAAAGGTTAAAGAGAAGACCTACATGGCAAAGTGATTCCTTTGTTTGCAAGTGCGTCCGCTTCAGTGTTCATTTCCTAAGTCATACTTGAGAGTAGAATACCAGAAAGAAAGAGGTAATACCCTGTCAACGTGATGAATACTGAACGTGGTGAACTGCATCGAAAGAGCCTGTACTTGCGCGTGCAATGCTCTCAAGCCTTCATGTCTCACAGCCCATTCTCCTGCTACCTTCGGAAAATTCGAGTCACGCACGGCTTAAAGTTTAGAACATGGACGATACCTGCTTGCAAACGAGGTTGGAATCCCCAAATACTTGAATGCTAGTCACGTTCCGGTCGAGTGCTGCCTGTAGTCCGAGTATGAGAGCCTCATACTCTGCAACATTGTTTGTCGCTGTGCCTAGTCCCATGTACAGTTTTTCAATCTGCAGACTAGCTTGTTTGAAAGGGAAACAGGAATTAGCTTTTGCATACGACTGAGCCCTTCGGATTGCGCAGCAGCGCTCCAGCACCAGCTTTCCCAGGATTTCCTTTAGAAGCTCCATCGTACGCAAGCACATAGACAGACTGCCATAACACGGAAAAATGAGACTACTTCCAATAAGATGACTCATGTACCTCTTCAGTAACTTCTTTCTTGTTTTTCTTAGTGGTGATCTGATGAGATGGCTCGGAGATCTGTAGCTTTATACATTTTACATCTTTCACAACCTCTTGCGCTGAGGGATCTCGGGTAAGTGAAGGGCAGCAAAGAACATTAGAGACGTACGTTTAAGATCGATGGCCTTATTCGCAAGATCGTCTGCAGCACTATTGAGTTCCTGCAAGGTATGTTACTGTTTGAACCAAGAGATCAAAAAACCAATTACCCGTACGACGTGCTCTATAGTGAACTCAGTAAACTTCTTCGACAGCGATTGCGCTTCTGCGTGTAATGGCTTGAGAGTGTCCTTGTTTACTTTCCATATGCCAGCTACCTTTCCTTCAAAATCTTAGAAAAAAATGCCTGTTTGACATCACTCGTACCTGCTTGCAAACGAGATTGGAGTCCCCTTGGACACGAATACGAGTAACGTTTTGCGCCAACGCTCCTTTCAATCCCAAAATGAGTCCCTGATACTCCGCAAAGTTGTTCGTCGCGGTGCCAAGGCCAATTCTCAGCTCCTGGAGCTGCAAAACTCCCGCATTCTTAAACTACAAATACCATGGACCGCAATGTTACAAACCACTGAGCCGTCCGGATCACGTAGCAATGCTCCAGCACCAGCTTTTCCAGGATTGCCTTTAGAAGCACCATCATACTGGAGAAGATGAACAAGCTGGAAAAAAAAGAAAAAAATCCACCCAAGTCATTCTCTAGGCAACATTTGGATCGAAAATACCTTGTTCTTAGAGTTTTGCTGGGGCTGGAGAGATGAAAGATAAAGCTTGGCCTCGCTTTTCAAAGAGAAGCTCTTGTACTCGGCCATGGCGAATCCATCGACCTGGAAAGCATCGCTCATGAGCATCGCGAAACGATTTCTCTCCAAAATCCCCACCTGTTTCCGGCATTCCATCCACGATGTGTAGATTCCCGGCTGGCGGCCTTGGCGCACAGCGTAGAACCTGTTCTTGCCCATAAACCCTAAGATTTAAGCCGCCCAGCCATGAAATGGATGCTCGAGAGAAGCACCGACGCTGCCTCTCCGCCTCCCATCCGTGGATCGAGCTCCATCACTCGCTGCATCACACGTGATTCACGGCAAGAATCCTTGTAGCTTCGACACGCCCCCAGCAAGCACGTCCACTCGAGAATATTTGGCTCGAATGGCATGCTCGCGATGAGCTCCTCGGCGAAATCCAGATGCCCTGCCCGGCCCAGGAGATCCACCACGCAGCAGTAGTGCTGCTTGCTCGGCCGAAGGCCGTGATCCATCGCCATCGACACGAAGTAGCTCCTCCCTTTGAACGTCTTGCCTGTGTGATTGCAAGCGATGAGCACGGCGAGGAAGGAGAGCGGGCGCGGCTCCAGCACCATCTGAATCTCATGAAATCGATCGATCACCGCGGTGGAATGGCCGCTGCTCGCGAATCCGGCCAGCATTGCCCCCTGTGACACAATCCCAGGCTCCGGCATGGAATCAAAGAGCTTCTTGGCCGCGGCGAGACGACCTAGCTGCGCAGTGGCGGCGAGGAGCGCCGTCCACGATATTTCGTCCCGCGGCATGCCGAAGAACAGCGATCTGGCCTCGTCGATCTGCCCGCTCCGCAAGAACGCGCACAGAATCGTGTTCCAGGAGACCTGATTCCGCTGTAGCATGCGATCGAAGAAGCGCTTGGCGTGATCGCAGTGGCCGCTCGACGAGTAGGCATCCAGCATCGCATTGAGCGCCACCGTGTTGTGATGCGGCATTAGATCGAAAACCCTTGTCGCGTGCTCTAGCAAGCCATTGCGAGAATAAGCCGTAACCATAGCGGTCCAAGAAACGATGCTGTGCTCGGGCATATTCTCAAACACGCGCGCGGCGTCTTCCAGATGCCCGTTCTCGGCAAGGGCCGACACCATCGCATTCCAGGCCACAACGCATCCCTCTGGCATCTTCTCATAGACTTTCTTGGCATGTTCTATGTTCCCACTTTCGCAGCAGGCTACTAACAAGGTGGTCCACGTAAAGAGATCCGTTTGGGGCATATTCTCGAACGTAGTCCACGCATCGTCTAGATGCCCGACACGGGCATATGCCGCTAGCATGGAGTTCCACGTGACGATGCTATGCTCGGGCATATTCTCAAACACGTCTCTGGCTTGGAAAAGATTCGCGCTCTGCCCATACAATGTCAGGATGCTTGTGTACGACACGAGATTCCACAGAGGCATTCTTTCAAAGAGTCTAATAGCCTCGAGAATATGCCCTGTTTGGGTATATGCTCCGAGCAGGGCATTCCAGGAAATAAGATCCCGATGTGGCATCTGCGCAAAGAGGCGCTGCGTCTGGAGAAGATTCCCACCCTCAGCATATACTAGAAGCATCGTGGTCCATGAGATTTGGTTGTGGTACGGCATAGCCTGGAATGTGGACATGGCTTTGTCGTGATGGCTGTGCCGGGCAAGTAGCGATAGCATGGTATTCCATGACACAATGTCACGATGTGGCATGGAATAAAAGATGTTCTCGGCATCTTCGATGCTAGATGACCTTGAGAGCATCAAATTCCACGAGAAAGTATCCTTTGGTGGAGCTATAGCCATCCGGGAAGTTAGTAAGACTTAGCAATGGAATGGCTACTCGCGAAGCTACTTATCGCTCTAATCTGCTAATCCAGCACTTCTTTCTTCATGGGCGAATTCTTGAAGCAGAGCTCGAGTTTTCCAAGAGATCGCACAGAAACGTTTTCTCCTGGAACATACTGATTACTGGGCTTTTGCGAGCGCGGCTAATCGATCGAGCGACACGAGCTTTTGAAATAATGCCTCAGAGAAATGCTGTTTCGTGGACCGCGCTTTTTCTTGCTTATGCCGACATTGGGCATTTGCAAAACGCGGAAGCGCTGTTTGATGGGATGCCAGAGAAAGATATCGTTTCTTGGAACGGGATTATAAGTGTGTTTTCCCGCGAGCTTTTATATGATCGAGCAAAACATTATTTCGATAAGAGTCCAGCAAAGGACATTGCGTCCTGGACCAGCCTTGTTACTGCTTATGCCAAAGTTGGGCATTTTCAGGATGCGTATGATGTCTTGAACAAAATGCCGGCCCAAAACGTACATTCTTCAAATGCGGGCATGCTCGCTCAAGTACGGACGGGTAGTTTGTCTGGTCCCAGGTTCCAATTCGACCGCTTGCCAGAACGAAGTTGTGTTTCGTGGAGTACTTTACTAACGGCATATGCCCAAAACGGGCATTTGCAAAATGCAAGATTTGTTCTTGACTTGATGCCTTGCCACGAACTTTACTCGTGGACGAGCATGATCGCCGCATACGCGAAGTGTGGAGAGCTTGAAAGTGCAAAGAAAGCATTTGATTCCTTGGTATTCAAAGATCCTGTTACGTGGGCGGCCATTGTCGGGGCATATGCCCAAAACGGGCAATGCAGGAAAGCCATTGATTTCTTCCGGGTAATGGACCTCGAGGGCTGCGGGCATTTTTACGACAAGTTTATCTTTGTTACCATCCTTGATGCTTGTGCGGATGTCTCTGAATTTACCATGGGTAAGTTACTCCTCGAGGAATGTGATTTTAGAGCTAGCGACGTTACAACGAATGTAATCGTGAATTTCTATGGCCGGTGTGGCAAGGTGGATTTGGCAAAAATCTTTTTTGATCGAACCTTGGTACGGAAGAACAATGTGACTTGGAACACGATGATCACGGCATATTCGCAGAATGGAGAGGCTCAAGGGGCGATAGATGCTTTCCAAGGAATGGTTTTGGAGGGAATCGAGCCAAACGGTGTGACTTTCCTTGGCATATTGCTGGCTTGCAGCCATGGAGGCTTGTTCGCTGATGGAATCGATTATATGCGAATTGGAATCTCGGATTTCTGGATTGAACCAGTACTGGATCACTACGTTTGCATTGTCGATCTCTTGTGTAAGATCGGGAGAGTTGAGGATGTGGAAGAATTGATTGAGAGAATGCCATTCGAGCCAAACCAAGTGGCTCAGAATGCTGTTCTTGGAGCTTACAAGTTGCATACTTCTTTGTAACTTTGTGTAGCTTCCATCTAATGAAAAATCTTCGATCTGATTGCCTCCGTTTGATCCAATCTTGCAAGTCACTGGCAGCAGCCCAAGAAATCCACCGCCAGCTCCAAGAAGTGTGGAGTTTTGAGGATGTGTTTCTGTGCAACAAGATGCTGGAGCTCTACAGCAAGTGTGGGAGCTTGGAGATGGCAAAGAAAATATTCGATGGAATAATCACGAAGAACACCTTCAGTTGGGTGCTGATGATCACTGCGTACGTGAGACGCGATCTCAGTGATGACGCGAAAGAATGCTTCACAAAGATGCCCATGCTGGATGTTGTAGCTTGCAATGTAATGCTAAGTTTATATTCCCAAGTTGGGGATCTTCAAGAGGCTAGATTCCTGTTTGATTCCATGCTTGAGAGGGATCTAGTGTCATGGACGGCTGTGATTGACGCACATGCCCAGAATGGACATCTACTGCAAAGTGAGCACCTGTTTTCGCAAATACCGCAGAGGAATCTTGTTGCATGGACTGCAATGCTTGTGGCATATGCCCAAACTGGGCATCTTGTGGATGCGAAAAGGATTTTCACTGAGATGCCTGAGCACGATATTGTGGTCTGGAATGCCATGCTAGCTGCATACGTACAAAACGGATTATTTGACGATGCCAGACTCAGTTTTGATGAGATGCCACAAACGAATCTCGTCAGCTTGAATTCCATGCTGGCTGCATTTGGCCAAAGCGAAAATCTGCAATTAGCTGTTAATCTATTTGAAAACATGCCTGAGCATGACTTGATCTCATGGAATTCCATGTTATATGTTTATTCGCAGCACGGGCATCTTAAGCGAGCAGAGGAAATATTCCAGAAGATGCCGCGACGTAGCATCATCTCTTGGACGTCGATGCTTACAGCATATGCTCAGCATGGGAATCATTCCGACGCAGAAAGGATATACCACGAAATGCCAACAAGGAATCTAGTGTCGTCAAACACGATGATAGCATTATACGGAGAATCTGGCCACCTCTCCACAGCCACAGCCATGTTCCACGCACTGCCCCAGCGGAATCTAGCATCCTGGAACGCCACACTCGCGGCATATTCCCGAAACGGGCATCTAGAGCACGCAAAGGACATGTTTGATGTGATGCCACAGAGGGATCTTGTCTCGTGGACGACTATAATGGCAGCATTTTACCAGCACGGCTTTCTATCACTAGCTACACGAATCTTCTCCAGCATGCCCGAGCAGATACCAGAATCCTGGAACGCGATGCTCACGGCATATTCGCAAAGCGGCCACCTTTGCAAGGCAAAGAGCCTCTACGATTCCATGCCGGAGAGAGACCTGGTCTCCTGGACGGCTATGATCGCAGCTTATACCCAAAACGGGCATCCCCTCGCGGCCATGGAAGCTTTCCACGCGGGAAAGCTGAGCAAAACTCCCGACCAAGTCTGCTTCGTGCTCGCCTTACTCGCTTGCAGCCACGCCGGCAAAGTGGAGCTCGGGATAAACTGGTTCTCTTCCATGATCTCCGACTTTGAGATCACGGCGAGCAAGCATCACTACTGCTGCGTGATCGATCTCTTCTCGCGAGCCGGGCACCTGGACGAGGCCAGGGATCTCATCGCCAACATGCCGTTCGCTCCCGAGGCCCTGGAATGGGTGTGCTTCCTGAGCTCGTGTAAGAGCCACAGTGATCTCCAGCATACCTCGCAAGCTGTGAATGCGGTGCTCGAGCTTCGCGGTGGCGATGGCTTCGCCGCCTCGGCTTGTCTCTTGCTTGCGAATCTGTACTCTAACTACAACGATAGTACTGTAAGCACGTGTAAGAAGAAAAAGAGAAGCTTTTTGACGAGTAAAGTTCTTCCAGAAAGAAAGTTTCTTGGAGCTTCCCTGCTATAGAACGATGTCGTAGCCTCTGACCCAAACGACTGTGGCGAAGAAGACGATGCAAAGTAGAACTCCCAGGCCGATCGATGTCATAGCGTAGACGTAAGCTCTCCACGGCTTGTCTCCCTTGGCTAGTGTGTGAACTTCGACAACAAACGTTGACACTGTGCTGAGGCATCCCAAAGTTCCCAGATGGAGTGCTCCGATCCACAGCGTCGACTCGTGGTTGTTCCTTGCCTGAAGAAAGAAAGAATCAGCTCTGACCAAAGTTTTAAAGCGAGAGGTACGTACTGCGAGCTGGACAGCCGAGAGAGTGGCACCTGTGAGGCACGCCAGGAGATTTGCTGCCAGCGTACCCCACGGGATCCATCTCAGTGTCTTCGAATGTCCGAGTCCTTTGCCGTTGTGTCTAGCGAGTAGCCATCTCAGCCAAACGCCTGGCGGGCTCAAAACGCAGGCAAGCCACAAAGTCCGTCTCTCCAAATTGTTAATGTCCTCGACTCCCAGAGACAGGAACAGTGTCCACAAGACCAGAGCCGTTGTCAGAAAAATCAAGAGGCCCTTGAGCTTTCTCTGGACATTATCAGCCGCGACTTCTGTGAGCTTTAGCCAGATCAGGAGAGAGCGAAACCATTCTGCTGACTGCATTCCCACCAGTAAAGACATCATCGACAGTTCCATGCCTGTATTTAAGATCAAACGGGCGAGTTACGAGATGTTTATAGAGTAAGCAAGAGCGCCTTACCGACAAGAAGGCCGATGACACCTCTTAACCATAAACCTTTGGTCATAACAACGACCAGCTTGACGATCCACGACGAGAAGGTTGTGATGCTACCCATGAGTCCGGTCGAGAGCCCAAGAGCTAAATGCTCCGAAAAGTGTGAGATATCCTTTTTGAGCACACAGCCCACCCATCCCATGAAGAATGAACCGAACTTACAAAACCAAAAAAGAAAGAGATTTAGCTCTTGTATGAGCTCCGGGCCTTCGGTTCTCTTACCATATTTGCCGCAAGATCATGAAAAAGAGCTGTTTGCGCGCTTGTGACATGTCCAACATTGTCAAACAGCCGCCCGAGGCTGTACCGGATTAGAACCTGCAAAGGGGACAAAGGACATGTGATTAGAAGCGCATGAAGCATCCACTTTACTCACGCCTAAAACTCCAAAAGCCGCCAGATGAGCGAGAACAGAGGTATTTTCCAGTAGCGAGCAAAACTTCTTGGGCGGCTGCTGCACATCAGAAAAGCTTTAAGCAACAACGAAACTGAAGACGAAGAAGAAGAAAAAAATGATGAGCGACTGAGAAAGCATACTTCATCAGGGTCGTTCTTGTTAACAGGGACTGCATCCAGCATTTGTCCCGCTTGTATGAGGTCTTCGAAAGCCACATTGACGTATGGAGAAACCGGAGACGTTGTTTGGGGTGTTCGAGGTGTCACAAATCCAGGATCAGGAGGAGTTGACCCGTCGTAAGGAGACAATGGAGCAGGCGACAGTGTGTCGTAGTCGGAAATATTTTCCGAAGTTGTCGCACACAGAGCTTCCATGGATATAGTATGCTTGTCACTTCCAGCTTGCTGCATGATTCGATCGCTATCCAGAAGGTTTGATCTGGATCGCCTCTGCAACAAACGGGAAAGAGATTGAGAAGCACACACAGAGAAAGAAAGCCAGAAAGAAAGGAACAGAAACCAACCGTCCAGTAGAGCTTGTGAGCTGCTGCTTTCTCGGCTCTGCTCTTTGCAGCCCTCTCCCAGTCCGTTGTGTTTCATATGCTTAACAAGAGATAAGCAGAAGCCCGGGTACACCAAATTGAGCCGAGTAAAAGCTTGAGCTGGACCAACTTGAAAGAGGGCCAGACTGAATCGCACACTTCTCCTCTCTACGAAACAGCTCGTATTTTCAGGCGACGACACAAAGCACTCATAGCTACACTGGTTTGTTAACGTTGGTTAACCCAGACCCAGCGAATAAACACAATCACCACCTCGAACTGCGTGATTTAACTTACACTCACTAACACAAGGCACAGGGAAGAAACTCCTCTCAGAGTTAGACTGGGATCCACCGGAAGAGAAGCGGCTACACTAACTCTCAAACCCGGACAAGCAGAATCAGACTCAAAGCAAATTCCGTGCTCGAAGATAAGCCACGGAAGGCACAAAGTACGCAAGGCTCCTCATAGTACCTCAGCAATAATAATATACATAGCAGGGACTGGGCAATGATCGCGCTCTCGCGCTCCCTCGCCGCTGGAGTTACCAGCTAAAGAGCTCACTCACACCCACACACAAACGCCTCAAGGCAATCAGGAAATTAAAGAGAAGGACAGTAACCAGTACCGGGCTCGATGAATCATCAAAAAATTTTCACGTGACAAGCTGCAAAGCAAAATCTACGAGTGAGAGCATAGCCTCAAAACGAAATTCATTACCGATCGAAGGAAGCCGGGCCGCCGCCGCCCCTGAATACCACCGCGCTCGCAGCAGCGCCTCCCCAAAGTCAAACCTACCCTAAACGCGACAAGTTTGACACGGCATATTCGCCCGTCTGGACGATGTTTTCCCGTCGCCTCGCCGAAAGAAAAGTTGGCCCGAGCACCACGTCTTCGTTCCCCTGTCCCTTTCACTCCGTGATTCCACACTAACTAGGTAAGCTGTTCCTCCCAAGGCCAGGAAAAAGGAGTGGAAAAGAAAAGAATTTTTCTTGCTTTCCCTGTCCTTGAGACACCTGTATCGATCACCGCCATCCAAGGCTTTGTACCTGAAGTGAAAGATTCGCAAATCTTTCGCTCCGCCCCACTTGTTTTCAAAGTAGCCGATGTGACGCACACCTGCTGCCGTAGGCATTATACGACCGCCCTCAGTACGCCAAACGCCCACGTGAAGCCTTCCCTGGAAGTTATCGCCTCATAAATCCCCCGCCCGCGTGGCAGCCTCCTCTCCACGGGATAAAATCCAGCCCAGGTCCACCTACCTTCGCTCTCCCGCCAGAAATTTTTCTTCCCAGGCGCGACCGCCAAGAACCCAGTGCGTGAATTTTGCTGGTGAATTCGTCCGCATTGGTTATTGCTGCTGATGGCCTGGAAAAAAGAAAAAGAAAAATAAAAGAGTCACGACACAAACAAACAATGAATCAGGCGGTGAATTCCAAATAGTTACCCTTGCGCCGTTTCTTCTTCTCGGGCCTCGTAAAAATATCCTCCACGCGCTCTACAATCTTTCGCTTTTTACTGCTCGCCTTCGGCTTCTTCCGGAGATCCTCCGCTACGAAATCGCCCTGGAGACAGTCAAACCGATGCGGAAATGAGGGATTTGCGAGAGGAATGGGGAGGAGTTTCACGTACGGGAAGGTGAACTGATTTCTCGTGGTTATCTCTGACGTGCCTGTAAGCAAAGGACTTTCCGCACTCTGGGTTGGAACATGGATACGGTCTGAATTTCAGGTGGGCAACCTTGATATGCTTTCGAAGGTTATTTTCCTGCGAGACACGTGACGAAAGATGAGCAGGCAAACAATGTGGTCATAAAACAAAAAGACCTGTAGATAGGTGAGCGGGCAGTCCGGATAGGGACATTTTATACGCTCCCGATTCAAGAGTCCCGCTTTGTCATGAGTCGCATAGTGCCTCTTGATTTTCGACCGCATGCACTGCTTGCCACACACTTCGCAGAACACGTACTTGTGAGCGTTCCTTGTGTGCTCGGCCAAGTCCGAAGGGTGATCAAAACGCTCGTTGCAACCCGGCTCGGAACAGACTATATCAACGTAGATTTCTCCTGCTGCAGCAAAGAACACATGGTTAGACCGAACCAAACATATACAGGTACCTCATACTGAGAGCATATCAAGTCTAGAAAAATCGGAGAGGTCACCCATCCCAAAACCCTGGATTGCCTCTCACCTCCTATCCGGGACTTCTTGAGGCAGTCACCCGCCTCAATACTACTCTGGAGTAGCTTTTCCACTTCGGAGTTCCATCGAGATCCGGTGTTGACGTCGAAGCTCACCTAAGCATTACATAAACAAGCCTCACCATGGCATGTCTCCTCATGATACCGAAGCTGTGATGGATACCGGAAAGCTTTGCCACATTTCTCCTCCTTGCAAGCGTGCTCCTTTGCTTCCTCCAAGCCTTTGTCTCGGTGGCGCTGGAGCGTTCCTTTCTTTTCGTGAAGCTTCGTGTGTCGCTTTAAGTCGTGTAAAATCCTGGTGGTGAAAATGCATCCCGGCCGCGAGCAGGCATGGACCTTTCCATCGTGTTTGTCATTTATGTGACGCTTGAGGTGATTCTCCCACTTGTATTTGGCGCCGCAAGAATCGACAGGGCAGCAAAATTTCCTCTGCGTGAAAGGATCTCGATCAGTCGGAGGAGAGAGAGATAGAATTCTACCTCGTTCGAGTGACAGAGGAGGTGCTGCCTGAGCAAGGAAGGCTTCCCCAGCTTCTTTCCACACTCACGGCACTCGTATTTCTTCTCTTCTTGATCGCTGCTGCTCGCGCTGGCGCTGCCTGTCTCGACATCCTCGCTCTCATACCTGGTGCTCTCCCAATCCTCGCTCCCATAGCTGCTATCGGATTGATCAGAATCGCTGGAGCTGGTGTCCATCGCGCGTCGCGCAGCCTTTCTTGGAGCCCTAAAACCTAAACCTAAAATACATTGTCCCGCTCATATTTGAAAAATTCTCTTGCCATAGCGAAGAGCAAAAGCTAGGGTTTTTAGCAGCGATGGCGAACCAGGAGAGAGGGCTGGAGCTCGGCCAGCGCTGCGATCACCAGCATTCTCCTCTATCGGCAGCAGCGGAAGATCCAGAGAAGGACATGGCCGCGGGTCCAAGAACGAAGGTCTATAGAAGGAGATTTTCTTCGATCAGAGGCATCGCAGTGCGTCCTCCAGTCACTCGCCGGCGGAGAGACGATCAATGGAGCAGCTCTCGTCGGTTTCGAGGTCAGTGCATCGCTTGTGAGTAAAGGAAAATGCTGATTGATTTCTGTTTCTTTCAAGTTCTGGAATGTAGAACAAACGAGTGATCCAAAGGTAGCATTCGAGTGTCTTCCACTCCGGCCTTGCGATTTTCGTCTACCTTCTTCTTGGATCAAGCGCCTGGACCAAGAAAGTCCTCCATATATTCACATAAGACGCAGTAAGACTTCTATTTCTCTTGTCTTATATATTTTATTCTCTCTCACATTTCAGATGTTTATCTCACGAAGAAAACGCCGAAAGTCTCCAAAGACGATGGAATGCAGTGCTCTTGCAAAGGATCAAAAATCTGCTCGTCAGACTGCATTTGCAGGTATTTGTCTTCGTTCACTCTTTTGTTTGTTAATTTTCTTTGATGGTGGTTTTAGATTACTGTACACTAGTTGTTCATCCAGCTGCGCTTGTGAAGGCAAATGCGAGAATCTTCCTTTTCAAAAGCGTGATGGCCGGAGGCTAAGACTTAAAGAGGTACCGTTGTAATCTCATTTGTGTCCTTAAGAATGTGGTTCTGGCAGACGGAGAATTGTGGATGGGGTCTTTTTGCGGATGAAAATATTGAGCGAGGCGATTTTTTGATCGAGTACATTGGCGAAGGTAATTTAGATTTTAGATTTTCAGTTTAGATGTTCTCATTTTCCTTTCTGCAGTAATTGACGACAAGACGTGTGAAGAAAGATTATGGGATCTGAAAGAACGTGGCGAGAATAACTTCTACCTCTGTGAAGTCGGTCACGACAAGGTGATCGACGCGACCTTCAAGGGCAACATGTCTCGATTTATCAATCACAGTTGCAATCCCAACGCACAATTGCGAAAATGGTCTGCCAAATTCTTCTACAATCTACTTACGAGCAAGTTACTATTTCCAGGCAATGCGATGGAGAGCTTAGAATCGGCGTGTTCGCAGTATCTCGTATATTGAAGGGTCAGGAAATAACATACGATTACAAGTAAGTGGAACTACCTTCGTGACACTGCTAATCTTTCGTGCAGGTACATTCAATTCGGGACGGAGCAGCAGTGTCACTGCGGATCCAAAAATTGCAAAGGGATACTTGGCGGCTCTAGGCCAACTAAGCTACAGAATCAGAATGTGCAAGGAGAAATGGTTCAGGTAAATACGAAACTTAAGGTTTTTGACAGGCTTTTCCGTTGCGTAGTTTTTTCCACAACAGGAAAAGATGGATGCTCCAGAAACGCAGAACTTTTCTAAACCAAGGGAGTTCAAGCAGATAATCTCCGATGCACCATGTATGGAAGGTTCTTTCTCTCTTTTCATTTCTCTTTCTTTCGTTTGCTTGAACACTGTTTGCTTTTACAGCTGTGTCTCCTTTCGCGCATTCGAGGAACTCTGTCGGACACAGAGTACGAGTATGGTGGCCTCTCGACCAAAAGTACGTGATGCTGCCTATTCTTTTTCTGCTACTGAAAGCTTTATAAATCTTGTAGATACTACAGCGGACGGATCATACGCTACAACGCCTCGATTGGCAAACATCAGGTGAGTGTCGTTTTTGTCATGCCTATTAAACATTGCTTGTACATGCTCCTACTGTGCATGTACATGCCTCTTAAATTTTTCTTGTGCATGCTTGTACATAGATACTTTACGATGATGGTGACGAGGAGGAGATTAGCTTGCTCGAGGAGAAATGGTCATGGGAGAAGAAGGTCAGAACAATACTAAATAGCACGGTAAAAACATTAAATTCCACTCTGAGCAGGAAGGGGCCATCCTAGAACAAAAACTAAGAACCTTGGAAGTTTAGAGGTATCTAGATCCCAAGCAACGAGATTTTAGCCACAGGACGATCATCCAGTTCCAGTTCTGAAGCTAAGAAATTCTTTTCGTCATTTGGCTCTAATGGTTTTCCCTGTGGATGACCAACTTAGCTCTCAAGAACGCTCACCTCCTCCTGGAATCCCTGCTCAAGTCTGCCACGCCATCTCTCGCGGAAGTGAAAGAGATCCAAAAATCGATCGGACTATCATCCTCTGGCTCTCGGCTTGACAATCTTTTGATCCGCGCGTACGCCCACTGTGGAAGCCTCGATGGATCGCGCGAGCTCTTCGATGGAATGCGCGAGCGGACGCTCTTCTCGTGGTCGATCATGGTGGCGGCGCACGCCCAGAGAGGGCATCTGGAAGAAGCATCCGCGATCCACGAGAAGATGCCTGCCTGGAATGTCGTGTGCTGGAACGCGATGCTGGCGCCACTGGCGGATTCCGGGCGGCTGGACTTTTCCGCCAGAATGTTCCAAGCGATGCCAGGGCGGAATGCCGTGTCCTGGACGGCGGCGATTGCTGCAAGTGCCCGGAATGGGCATCTGGTGTGGGCGATGGAGCTATTTCACAAGATGCCTTCTACGAGCGAAATCTCTTGGGACTCCATCACTAGGGCCCTTGCTCTGTCAGGGAATCTCGACGATGCGAGGCTCTATTTCCATCGATCGCCCGCAAGAATGAGCTTTGCGACTTGGATGGCAATCTTCCAGGCGTGTGCCAGGAGTGGCGAGCTTGATCACGCAAAAGCCCTCTTCGATCAAGCGATTGAGAGGAACGAGGATTCGTGGAGCGCGATGCTCTGGGGATATGCCACGCAGGGGAGTCTGAGAGATTCCGTGGCTGTGCTGGAGAAGATGCCTGTGGTGGGAGTGGTCTCGTGCTCGAGCCTCGTCCAGTGTTATACCCAGAACGGGTATATTCGTGAGGCGAAAGCACTCTTTGATGGATTGCCCGCGAGATCGGAGGACACGTGGACGGCTCTCGCTGTGGGATATGCCCGCACTGGGCATCTTGGCGAAGCGGGGATTTTGACGGACAGGATGCCGCAGAGGAATCTCGTGTGCATGGCTGCGATTTTGCAGGCTCACGAGGGGGATCTCCATGCAGCAAAGGGAATCTTTGTTGAGATGCCAGAGAAGAACTATACGTGTTGGAACACATTGCTTACGGCCTACGCTAGTGCCGATTTGTTCGAATGTGTGGAGCGAGTTTTCAAGAAAATGCCGATGCATTGCGAGGTTCCATGTACGACGATGATCTCGGTGTACGGCAAGCACAGGCATTTCCGGGAATCTTTAGAAACGTATGATTCTATGCCCAGGAAAGATGTTGTAGCTGCCAATGCGGTTTTGCAAGCAAAAGTGGCAAACGGGCTTCTATGCGAGGCACTGGAGTTTTATGAGAAGATGCCCGTGAGGTCGATTCCCACTTGGACAATCATGATCCGGGCATATTCTCAAAATGGCTGTACAGACTTGGCGAAAACTATATTCGATCAAGCGTCCAAGGATCTCGTTTCATGGAATGTGCTAATGAAACTCTACGGAACCACCGGTTATGTCCTCCAGGCAGAAGTTTTGTTTGAGAAGGCTCCGGCAAGGAATATCCTGTCGTGGACCGCCATGTACTCTGCATATGCCCGCTGTGGGCACCTGCTGGAAACCAAAAACCTCTTTGACAAGATGCCTAGCCGCGACATTTATACTTGGAACACACTCGCTTCGTGTTATGTCTTGCATGGAAACTTAAGCGAGGCACGAAGTACATTCCAAAAGATGCCGGAGCACAGCAGCGTGACGTTCAATGAGATGCTCGTGGCACTTTTTCAGGACACTGGCCTGGATCAAATCAAAAGCCTGTTTGATACATTGCCTGAAAAGTGTGTTGTTTCATAGTCACTGCTGATCTCGGCATATGCCCAAAACGCCATGTCCAAGGAAGGATTTCAACTGTTTCGTGACATGATCTTGGAAGGAATCTTGCCTGACGAAGTTTGCATGACCATTGTTTTGGATCTGTGCAGCCACACCGAGGATGCACTGCGGATCTTTAGATACTTGGAGCAGGATCTTGGCTTGAGGGCCGTGAGGGAGCACTACTTGTGTTTGATTGACATCCTTGGAAAATCTGGATGGACGAAGAGAGCTCAAGACTTGATTCAAAGCATGGGCTACAGTGAAGCTTGGGCATCACTCCTTGGATCTTGCAAGATCCACAATGATCCTTCAATTGGAGCAAAAGCAGCTGCAGAGCTGGCCAGCTTTGATCCAGAAACATCTGCAACTTACGTGTTGTTGTCCACTATATATTTTGAAAGTAACTCTTAAATCTCATCACATTTTAGATCTTGGAAACTTAGCTTTATCAACCTT